ATTTTTCCTTATGTGACATCTTATCCAAATCAAAGCACTTATTTGCTGCTTGTAGAGCTTATGCAGTGATAGACAAAATGATTTTTCTTTGGTTTCAATTTATTTCTTTACCCAAAGTAAAAGAATATCTCACAAGCATAGGCTTCCCTGAGGAAAGCTAAACAACTGTAGAGAATCCAAGGACAAAACAAGATTATATGAAATGATACTATTACTGTCTTCTGGGCTGTTTTGCAGACTGAATTCAGATTCAGAGTTCAAAATGCAAAATGAGTTAAAGTTTGTTTAAAAAAAGATTCACCATATGGAAGTTAACAGAGCTTTCAGTGTTTTGATATGCCCGAACCTCTGATGAAGTCAAATATTCACTACAACTCTTATTTAGCCTGATGTTTAACTACCATTTAACCTTATTTTCACCAAAATTTCTTATGTTAAAAGAATTTACAAGCTCTGGAGTAAGATATACCCATTATCATTTTTAAAAATGTGTGCTTGTACATTAAAGGCTATGCCTCCTTCACTTAAAATGAACAATCCAAGTGGAATAGAATGGCTTACAACTGACCAAGAAATAAATATGGCTCATTATGCTAATGAGAAAAATTAAAAAAAAAAAGTGCTCTCAATGTTGATGACAAGTCAAGGAACACAGATTAAAGATGACTTTATGAAGAAAATCCACTGAAGAAAACACTACTTCTATCTTTGATTCAATGATTTATTTTGCAGAAAGGCAGCAATGTCACACTATCCTACAGGTTCAACAGTTATGTATCACTAAACTTATATTAGGAACAAGTAAATGATTTTCTGAACTCTATTTTCCTGGTTACCTCCTAGGATGAGTAGTACCCTTTTAATTTTACATTCTATAAAACTACCCCACAATGTAACTGATCACCAAAAATAGTAAATTAGGACTAAATATACTCTATTATCTAAGGAAGTACATCATTGTATGTTTAGAAAGATTACCCTCAAAAATAGGCACAATTATCTGAAAGCTTTAACTTGCCCTAGACATTTCCTAACCATAATGGGCAACTAATGATGCAATAAAATTCTATTTTCTACATTCTATTAGTCCACTGGTCATTTGGGGCACGAAGTGGGGGGAAGGGGTATGTAGGAGGTGACTGCCATTCCCGGCCTGTTTTAACCTTTCAGAGATGATGTCCGCCATTTAAAGGTTGTAAGTAATTAAAAAATATGGAATCCTTAAAACTACTTCTGTAAATTCCCTGGTTTCTAAACTTAGGATATAATCTAAATTCATACCCTCCATTTTAATTCCTATCCCTTGCACCTTGCCAGGCCTTTTAGGGGTCAGGACCAGAGGCTTATAACCAAATTCTATTTGCTGGCAAAAGAGCTTTAGCTAAGGGACATCTTTGCAATTAACCCAACTCAGAAAAAATAACTACAGTCTGTGCAAGGACACTGAGTTCCTCCAACTGTCACATAGACAATTCTCAAATTGCTGCTTGAATTTTACTTTACTGCTCCTCCCTTTCAAATGGACTATGTTCGGGGAAAAATTTATCCCTCTTCCTTCTATTAATGCTAACAACTACAACATAAAGGTACTTATAACATTTAATTTACCTCAAACTTCAGATAAAATAACATACTAATTTATATCTACTTATGGTTTCTCTCTCCTAAAAAAACTTAAAATATACTTATTTTTCAACATTTTTTGAGTGTAACATAGGAAATTATTTGGTTTCCCACTTAACAGATTATTGATTTAACTTGAGGCAAAAAAGGTTAAGTGACTTACCCAAGGTTACAATTAGAGGTACAGCTGGGGCTAGAAACCAGGTCTCCTGAGTCTCAGCCCAGAGCTCTTTTCCTTAGCCCATGATGCCTTATCAGAAAAATCCAAATACAGTCAGACCCCCAGTTACATGGGTATGAGTTACACTGATTCACATATACAAACTTTATATAGTGTGACCAATGTTTCAACTCACGCGGTACCCTGCTTCCATTTATGCAGTATGCCAGGCATCGGCACGATTTTCAGTGGCACACAGGCGGTTGCCACCACCAGGGCCCTAGGCAAAATTGCAAAGAAGGCAAAGTTTGTCTTTGGCCCTCCCACCACCCTTATGCATTCCTCTCCCACCTCCTGGTCATCCCCCTGCCCAGCCTCCCAGCACCATCATGCTGCCCTCTGGTTGTCCAAAGCCCCCCACTTCCACCACTCACCCAAGACTGTCCTTTCTGGGAGTGCCCAGTGATCCAAAATTACCTTTCCACTTCCTTCACACTACAATTCCCATTTCTGAGAATTTCAATAAAGCTTAGGTAATCCATATGATTAACTGAATTAAGTAACTCAAAATAAGGTACTTTTAATAGACTTACGTCTCCAAGGAGTTTAAAAAGGAACTAATTAAAAACTGAGTTGGGACGGGGAAGAAGGAATAAATATTTTTATTGGTGGAGGAGAGGGGGAGGTGAAAGGAAAACAAAGTTTTCCCAGTGCCCTTGGCTTCTTGTGCCACTTCAGATTCCCTCAGAGACAGGACACTAAGGCTTGAGGAGGGGTTATGGCAACCTTGAATGCCACTATCCCAGAGGACAATAGTTGTTTTATAGTCAGTCTCTGGGATGATTTAAAAAAAAAAAAAAAAAAGTGGGGGGGCGCAGAGCTACCTTAAACACACCCTCCCCTACCTACCTTTTCCATCTCTCTCCCACCTCTTGGATCCCCATTTCCACCTCTTAGTGCCAAAGACACCCAACAGCATTCCCTGTAAGCTGTTCCTTTGTCCAATACAAAGCTTTCCATTATATGGTTTTAAAGTATATGGTGTTATTCAGGAACGTATCCATATTCCCCTACCCCTGGATACCTTGAAGTTGACTGTATGCTAAAAAAGAACAATTCTAATTATTTAAAAGTCCTGAATCATAAGATGAAATATGTAAACTCATTATCTGGTAAGGAAAAGAATGTTCTGATTCTTGTCTTGTATACATAAAAGAACTAATATGGGTATCTTTTCTTTTCCTTGAAAGTAGTGTTTCTTACTTCTGGCCCAACACAGCAGTGAAAATCCAGTCATTTCAGCTAAATAATATCGTGGACTCGTTAACATGAGTTCATTGGTAAATCCTCTTTGTCTGGAGGCAAAAAAAATCCGGTAACATACACATAAAAAATGGAAATTTATTTGTATACAAAGCAGAATGGATTTTAAGAAATCCATGTTTCTGCTAACTACACACACAGGAATATATATTTATATATATATATATTTTAATGTAGCTTTACAATACTAGATTGGCTACCTCGTTTGGAAACTTATCAGGTGATATCAGGTGATAGCAGTTACTTCGATCCAACTACCCTCCCAGTAAAATTAGAAAATTCAATCCATGTAGAAGGTACCAAAAATGGTATCCATCTAGGATTAAAAAGTTCATGTAAAATCTTACATGATTTCCATACTTTTACTACAAAAATTAGTTATTCTGTCAGCTAAAATCCTGAATTAGGTCCCTTCCCAATACCGTCATTATGGAAAAGGAGCAATGTTAAGACATGCTGCAGTTATAAAATAACCATTCTTATCTAACAATGAAAAATGAACAGGTAAAAGTTTCTGCAGGGGCATTTTTAATTAATGTTAACTTGCAAGGGTTTACTACACAAAATTCATTTCTTTCCCAATCTTCCCCTCCTCTCTACACAAGCACAAGTAGGTTTGCCACCTCCACCTATTTGTCTATGTGTCCTATGAAGACAAGTTCCCAATACGGGTTTTTATTAAAACTAAACTGTGAACTCTGAAAAGCCATTCTCTGTATGCACTGCGAAAAATATCTGAATTCAATACACATTTCTTAACCTACTCACATATTTTGCTGCAAAGTATTCAAGAAAATTACAAGAGCAACTGTTAAAAATATGTGTGCCTCTTCTCTTACGTCAAGCAATTTAAGTAACTTTTCAAGAAAAAAGCATTTCTTTAATGGCTAAGAAACGATCTGCCTAAACAAGCAACATATAAAAATAAGCAAGTGTTTTTGCTCTTAAGAGAGAAAGTACTGAACTAGACCTTTCCTCCATATTAGCATGGATTTGAGCTCAATTTGAAAATACATTATCATCACCAAAAAAGCAACAGCATTTCATCTTTGCATTTAGGAATTCTCTTTACGACAAAAAAGATCCGCAATTAGTAATTTTCTACACAAACTCTATTCTCAGCGCCTAAAAGGATTGTTGTTTCTCTCAATTCTACTTCACTGGGCACCACATTTTCAAAATGGTTCTATTTGGGGCACATGCAAGACTTGTCAATATTTACTGAACAAAGCTTCTATTAAATTCTCTAACAAAATGGAGGTCTCTCGGAAAAAACAGGCCATAACATTTTTCTTTTCACAAAATGGGGCCAAACACACCCACTTCAAGAAACCATGGTTTGGGTCAGATTTTTCCATAAGGATTGTTTCTGTGGGGATCGAGAGTGGACTTCTGGGACTGGGTTCATAGTGAAGGTTTTCTCCAGAACCAGGTAAGGGGCGGGGGTCGGAGGGGGGGCAGTTCTCTCTGGATGCTCTGGAGGGCGGCGGCGAGGGATGATCCCAAAGCTCTGGGTTAAGGAATTAGTTCAGGGGACGGAGGCTTTAGCGGTCCACCGGTACCTAATCAGCCACAAAACGGGACAACCGACTACGCCAAGAGAGACATGGGCTCTCCCGTCCCAGACAAGTCAACATTGAATCTCAAACTCTCCTTTCTACCTCCAGGCCCCGCCTGACCCCATTGGCAGCAGTTCCCGCCAATCCGCTCGGTCACCGCCCCCCAAGCCCGCCTGCCCAGCCCTGATTGGATGGGACGGGAGCCGGGACCTCGTGTTACCAATCTAGGAGCCCCTTACTCAGCCACACACGCAAGCCCAGGTACGCCCGCGGAGCCCCTTCCCCTCGCTTTCCCCTTCCCCTCCCCCACCCCCAGGGCACTGGCAGACACTTACCGTCCCGGGAGGTGCCCATCAACTGGTCCAGCATTGCGCGCATCTGGGCCTGCGCCGACATGGCGGCGGCGTAGCGAGCGGGCGGGGGTGGGGCGCAGACCGGGCCCTTTCGGGCGGGGGGGACAGGGGAAGGGGTGGGGGAAGGTGAGACGCTGTCTCAGTTGCCGCCGCCGCCGCCGCCGCCGTAAGGCGTGTGGAAAGGGAGCCGGAGGGCTTGTAGGAGAGTCCGGGCTGCGCTCTTCACGACGATGCGTAAGTAGAAGGCAGCAGCCCCCGAAAGCAACCCTTGTTCCCTCACTTTCCGTCGGGTCTTGGGACAGAAGCGTTACGGGCTAAGCAAGCTGTCGCCTCCAACACCGCCACCCGCCAGAAGCCGTCAGCCCCCCCTTCAAGCTCTGACGCCGCTCGCCGCCACCGTCGCCGCAACGTGAGCGCGCACGCTCCTCGCGCTTAGTTGTTTCCCGCGGGGGCTCCACCAACTGGCGTCCAACTGTATTTGCTCCACCCGCCCCGCCCGGGAGAGGTTCCACCCTAACGGCTCTCGGGCGCGTGCACGCGAGCTTCTCCCGCCCCTTTCCCCCAGATCTCGCGAGACTCGGGTTATTAAACGACCCTCGAGCCGGATCTGCCCGAGGCGCCAAACCTCACGCTACCAGCTGAAAGTGGGCTAGGGCTGGGCGGCACGCTGTGCTGGCGAACCAGACCCAAATTAGCAAATGTGCCAGAGGGTTACCCCGAGTTGAAAGTAAGTGGAGACCTTACCCCTCGGTTCGACTGAGGTTAGCAGTCTTAGTAACTGATACAGGTGTATTGGATTATTCACTGGCCGATTAACTCGTTTTCAGGGGCCCACCCAGAATATTGTACGCTCAACCTTTCCCCACTGCTGCCTTGACCTTCTACAAAAGGAGCCCTGGAGATCTGACATCTGGGTCATTTCCCTTTATCTATGCATAGAGGCTAAACACCCCCCCCCCGAATTAGGATAAATCAAGTTCAGGAAATACCACCCGAAATTATTACACTAAGATACAGATGACCTAACCCGTTCGGATTGATTATCATTATTTTTAACGGAAAGCTGTTAGTATAAATGTGGAACTATAAAAATTAAGCAGTATTCTCAGAAAGGAAAGGTGATCTTGTAGGAAGTTTCTTTTTTCCTGTTTAAAAGATAAGTTTGAAGAATAAGGCCTTTTCAGTGTATCAGCAGCATTGACAGTGGGAAAGAAAGCCTGTATGTTCATAACTTGCCATCACCTTGGGTTCAAAATCTTAGTCGACTGATTGCTAACTGGGACCTTCAGTAATTTATTTCTTAATCTCACGTTTATGGATCTAAACACACATACCTTATAGCATTGTTGTGAGGACTAAATAAGCTAACAGAAAATGCCGAGCTTGATATTTTGACTTTTTTTGTAAAATATTAATTCCTTAAAATGAGACATAGGTACTTCCTAGATACTTGGAGAAGAAGTAATGGTAAAAGTTTTTCATTAAAAATTTATGTGCATCACCCTGGAACTTAAAATCTATTGGCAAGATTAGTAAAAAACATAAAATAATAATAATAGTCCTGAGGTCCCTTTAAATGCACATTGGGCCAAGGGGCATCTGGCAGGCTCAGTCAGTAGAGTATGTGATTCTTGATCTCGGGGTTGTGAGTTCAAGCCCCACATTAGGTGTAGAGATTACTGGGGGAAAAAAAAAAACTAAAATGCATATTGAGCCAATAAAATTTTTTAAATTACATTGTCTTTTGTAGCTGACAAAATAGGTTCCCTCCAATTATTCAAAGAACTCAAAATTCCAACAACTCCAAACAATTTACAATAAGAGAAAAGTGTACAAATTATTCTGTCCTAGAGGGAGGCATATTATATATACATATATACAGTATGATCTTCTGAGGAGCAATATCCTTAGGAGGGAAGTAGACTAACATGTTGAGTAATTAATTGTTAATGAAAAGAATTGAGTTTTTTCCTTCCTACTTTTCTGGTTGCTTACATTTTAAATGGATCTCTTAAAAACAGCATATAGTTTTTTTATTTAATAATCTGATATTCACCGTCTTTTAATTGAAGCATTCATTTATATTCATGTAATTACTCATATGTTTGGGCTTAAAGTTCTTATTTTGTCTGTCTCATCTATTCAATTTTCTCTCCTTTCCTGCCTGCTTTCTAATCATTCCATTTTTTCCCCTTCTAGTAGTTGGGAAGTTTTATTTTTATTCTTATAGTAGATACCCTAAAAGTTATAACAGGCATTCTTAATACTTTTTCATTTCCTCCAGATAATACAAAGAACCTAGAAAACTAACTCCATTTAACTTCTCCTGAAGTTATATACCCTTGTTACCATGTTTTAGTTCTATGTTTTTTAAAATCAAACTTCATATACTGTTCATTTATTTTCCACGTTTTTTTTTTTCCTCTTCATTCCTTCTGGAATCTCTGCCTTTCCATCTGGGATCATTTCCCTTTTGTCTGAAGTTTAAACTTTAGGACAGGAGTCAGCAATCTACAGTCCACAGGCCAAATCCAGCCCACTGCCCGTTTTTCTGAATAGTTTTGTTGGAATACCGCCAGGCTCATTCATTTACTATTGTCCCTGGTTGCTTTTGCACTACCATAGCATTGTTGAGTGGTTGTGACAGATACTGTATGGCCAGCAAGACTGAAATATTTACTATCTGGCTTTTTACAGAGGTTTGCCTAATCTGCTTCAGAGTTTGCTTTTGTGTTGGTTAGTGGGCAACTGTCCCATTCCTGTTGATCTGAAACAGTGTTTCTTTTGCCTTTCTTTATTCTAGGTGGGTATTTTTTTTTTTTTTAAGATTTTATTTATTCATGAGAGACAGAGAGAGAGGGAAGCAGAGGGAGAAGCAAGCTCCCCGCTGAGCAGGGAGCCCGATGCGGGACTCGATCCCAGGACCCCGGGATCATGACCTGAGCCGAAGCCAGATGCTTAACCATCTGAGCCACCCAGGAGCCCTCTAGGTGGGTATTTTTATTGGGCATAGAATTCTAGGTTTGAAGTTACTTTCTTTCAGCATGTTCATTCCATCTTTCTGCTGCCTTTTACCTTCCATTGCTCCTGCCAAGTCTGTCACTCCTTTGTAGATAGTTGGCTGCTTTAAAATTTTGTTCTTTTTGCTTTGGGTTTCCTGCAATTTTACTATGGTGTATCTGGGTGTGGATTTATTTTTTTCTGCTTTTAGGATTCATTCAGCTGTTAAAGATTGATTTATTTATTTTGAGAGAGAGAGCATGTATGCACATGGTGGGGAGGAGAGCAGAGGGAGAGGAGGAGAATCCCAAGCAGACTCCCCACTGACTGAAGAGCCTGATGTGGGGCATGATCCCAGGACCCCAAGATCATGATCTGAGCCGAAATCAAGAGTCGGCCAGTCAACCGACTGAGCCATCCCGGCGCCCCATGTTTAGCTATTCTTAAATCTTGTTTCTCTTTCATCCACTTCTGAAACTCCAAATAAATGTTTATTTAGACAGTTTTCACTGTATCCTCTATATCCCTTTACTCTCTGCATTTTTTACCTTGTCTTGCCAAGCTGCCTTCTTGATATTTTTTTGACAAATTTTATAGTTCATTAGTCTTCTTTCAGCTGTATCTAGTCTGCTGTTAAATCCATCAATTGAATTATTTATTTTTTCAGTTCTAGAATTTTTATTGGGTTCTTTTTCAAGTCTACTGTGTCATTTTTAAAGAGATTTTGGGGGACGCCTGGGTGGCTCAGTCGGTTAAGCGACTGCCTTCGGCTCAGGTCATGGTCCCGGGGTCCTGGGATTGAGCCCCGCATCGGGCTCCCTGCCCCGCGGGGAGCCTGCTTCTCCCTCTGCCTCTGCCTCTCTCTCTCCCTGTCTCTCATGAATAAATAAATAAAATATTAAAAAAAAAAGTTTTTGGTTCCCTGATAAAATTTCCAAGGCTGTCTATTCTTTGACCCTAGTGAACATAATTGTTTTGTAATCCGAGTTTGCTAAATCCAATTATCTGAAGTTTTTTGTAGTTTGTTTCTGTTGTTGTTGTTTCTGCTGGTTGTCACTTGTGGAGTCTTGTTTTCTTGTGTGTTTGGTTATCTTTATATGTTGAACCATGTATTTGAAAAGAGATACACAGGAATAACATAAGTCTAAGTAGTATATAATGCTGCCTTCTTTCAGAGATCTTTATTTTTCTCTGATAGGTAACCGAAGACCTTACTAGTCAAGGACCACCGTAATACAGGTTCAAGGCCTCAATTCCTCTTGACCACCAAAATGACAAAAATCTGAGCTGAAAACTTGGCAAGGACTTTTTACTTACAGCTCTTCCTTAAGGGTGAACTTCAGGGTTCTAGATTCAAGTGGATGTGGATTTCTTAGAGTGCCTACCTTGGTGGGCCCTAGACTTTGCGTTTTGCATCCCTAACCCTACAAACCCACCAAAAGTGTAGCTCAGTTGCAATACAAAGCTATTAACTACACAACTTGCAAGTACCCTGAAGCCAAATATGTGTCTTTATGTGCTACATTTACAAGGGACAAGCATGTGGTTCAGGGAAGAGATGCAAGAGATAAAAGGTCTGGACTAGAGTATTAGAGAGATTCAGGGGATTCTTAGGAGGTAGAATCTAATTCAATGATTATTTAACTGAGGGTATGAAGGAGGAAGCAGTCAAGAATGACTGTTTTCTGGTTTGAGCTACTGAGTACAAGTGTCAGTAACAGAGGAGATTTACAGGGGAAGATGATGAGGTTCCACTTTGGATGCTTTGAATTTGAGATGCCTTTGAATCATCTAAGCAGTGTTGTCTTTGAAGCAGCTGGACATAGAGGGCTACAGGAGGCCTTGGACTGGAGTTAGCCTGTTGATGATAATTGAAGCCTAGGAAGTAGGGATGATCTCACCCAGGGAAAGAATATCAAGTGTGAGGTAACGACCTAGATTTGAACCTGAAGAATGTCAACATATTAGGGACATGCAGGAGAGTAAACTGAAGACAAATGGTTAGAGCAAGAGAAGAAAACAAGAATGTGATGTCATCAAAGCTAAGAGAAAAGAATCGTCAGTAGTGTCAAATGCTTCCTAGAGGGGCACCTGACTGGCTCAATAAGTAGAGCATTGGACGCTTGAGCTCGTCGGGATCATGAGTTCAAGACCCACATTGGGGATAGAGTTTACTAAAAAACAAACAAAACAAAAAATGCTCCCTGGAGATCAAGCAAGGTAAGGAATGATCCACTGAGTTTAGTGACCTCATTTGTAACCTTGCAAAGCAGTTCTGGTAGAGTGGAGGGGCAGAAACCAGACTACAGTGCATTGAGGATGATTGGGCAGTGAAAAATGCAGAAAATGATTCAACAACATGGATTATTAATCTCAAAATCAGTTATGTTGAGCAAAAGAAGCCTACTCAAGAATGCATACTATAAGGACTCCATTTGGATAAAATCCCTGAGCAGGCCAAAC